CCTAAACAACCCCAAAGATATTTCTTTATCTCAATAAAGTGAAGGTAGAAGAGTTAATTTGTTGAGAATGGTTTTCATAATTTTTATTGTTTCTTAAAGTAGAGAAGAGAGACAAAATAGGAAACGAATCACGTTATTGACGCTGTTGTTTACCCATTTAGCCTCTTTCTGAATCCTCCTCATTCAAGGATACATGTGGGACTCTTTGGATGGAGACGTTCTACCAATGGCTACTCCCAAATTTCATCTTCTCTACCCTAAATTGTACTTACATAATCTCATTAGTGACTTAAGAGATTATAAAGTTTTAATTTCATTCATTAATATTATCTTAATTTTTGTCAAAAAAATTATAACATATTCATTAATTCTCGTCTCTAAATTATTTTAAATACTCTCATTTTTTTATCGAATGAATAATTCTTTTATCGCGTTTGTACTACTTTGATATTAATTTCCAATTCTCTTCCTTTTGTAATCTTATCTTTGGCTACATCTATGCACCCCCAAGGACTCAACAAACCAACAAGCTGAAATTATATTCCACCCACCTAACTTATCACTCTTCAACTTCTTGGATTCTTATGCAATCAAACTCTTCTTTTCTAGAAATTATGGTTTTTTTGGTAAGGAATGAGAAATACTATTTAAGCTCAATTTGTTAGCTTTACGATAAGAATGTTATATTATTTGAATAAAATATTCTTTATAAAATCGTAGATGGTAAATAAATTATTAATTAATTAACTCCCTTTTTAATTTAATTAAGATTTGACTTCCTTGTTATTCCTTAATTTGTTACAATAGTACCAAGACTTATTGTTATAAGAAATTAATCAAGTCAATTACTTTTCAATCTTGTATTGGTAAGAATTCCAGACTTCTACATATAATCAACCTTTTAGACATTCTTTTCTCAATGTAAAAGGCTAGAGATCCTTACCAAAAGAAAAGACATTTAATTTACTTCTCAAAATCACTGAGCTTGAAAGTGAAAGGTATTTATTTAGTCAATAGCTTAATCATACACTATTTAACTATTTGTACATTCCCAAATTAGCTTAACAAATAAAGTTAGTACATTGGTTAAACGAGTTGAAATCAAATCTCGATCACATCACTCATACTTGAGGATATTACGAAAGAAAAAAGTCATTATCTCTTACTTTACAATCAACCATCTAATGAACTTATTCATCAACCCGGATAACATTAATTATAGCTTGTTTCTTACTGCGTTAATAGAATATTGCGACTTAAGAATTACTACCGCTGTAAAAATTTCTTCGAGAGATTTTATTTCTCTCAAGAAAGGCTTGAGAAACAAGTTAAATATTGCACCAGCCAAATCTTATTTTATTAACATTTTTGAAACAAGGCAATGACAAAAAAAAAGGTGCAAGGAAAAAGTGGAGAAAGTGAGCAAATTGTAGTGAAAACAACAGATATATCTAATTAAATTTGATGTAATATTTCATACAACATAACATTAGAAGGACTGTTGAGTTTTGTGTAATATATATATGTGTGTGTGTGTGTGTGTGTGTGTCTATATATTTTTTTTTCTTAGTAGTCTATGCATACAATTGAGGGATCACAGCAGCATTCATCTAGGAGACAACAACAACACAAAGCTGCAAGACTGCAAATCACAAAAATAAAAGGAAAAAAGTTACATTCAGATTCTATGTCAACTACATATATACACACACATAATAAACTAAAAACTAAGTTAATGACTGCTGTATTATTTCAAGATGATTAAATACACCAACCATATTAATTTATTCAAAGTACATCAATCATGTTTAGGAATATACAAAAATTCACTTAAATGAATCTTGATATTTTGACCCTTACCTGGATTCGAATCCAACTGGCCACTCTATACAAGTATTCGTTAAGAAGTTGATTGTATTTATATTTCTACAGGTACCTAAGTATTGCTTCATAATTGAAATATATGAATTTCTATCAAAATTCATTATCTTCCAAAGCATCTAATAATTACTTTAAAATTAGAAAGTTTTTTGGACTAGAAGAGATAAATGAAATGGGTTCGAAAGCGGCAATTCATCGAACAGATGGGATGCATACGAAAAGAGAAGCATTGAACTAAAAACGTACCATCCTTCAAGAAAACCAGGTTCTCTTCTTGGAGGGGGTGCGTAATACTGTGGAGGAGGCATCACTGGAGGTCCATGGTAAGGACATGATTGATCAAAATCAACCGGTTAATATAAAAAAGATTTAATGGTTGATGATCTTGAGCAATCAATAATGGAGAAAGAAAGAAATTGAACTGTACCTGGAGGTGGGTAAGGATGAGCAAATTTGGGTTCCATTCTTTTCGCAGAAAACAGAACAGAAGAACTTGGCGAAATTGATAATGGGTTTAGATGAGGATCGTGAGGCATTTATATAGAAGAGAAAAAGTTGAAAGAGAATAAAGTGCATGGTGGGAAAAAGTGAAATCCAGAATGGTATAGAAAGCTAAAACCAGAGAGAACTATATAGTAATCTTTTTCTAGCTTTATAATATATATATATATATATCACTTCAATTTATATTATTAAACATGTAAGGAACATATTCTTCAGTTTTTACTTGAATTAATTGATGGGCTTTGAAGGAGGAATATATATACACACGCATATATATATATATAATGTGACAAATTCATCATCACGTATACTATACCCTGATTTGGCAACAATTATGCTTTAACAGATATTCTTTGCACACTGAACTAGTTTTAAATGTTTTGATCCTAATTTGATTGCTTTCAGAAAAATTCTTTTTGTCAAATGATAATTGTTTTAGAGTTTGTGGAAATTCTTTTTAAATATTAAATAAAATATTTAGGTAATAATTCAAATTTTTTTAATAAATTTCAAAGTCTAAAATAATTAATTATTTTTAAAAATGTATCTATATATATATATATATATATATATTTTAATTCTTGTAGTGGAAGAGTAATGATTCTCTTTCAGTGATGCTCTTCATCACTTGTCAAGTAATTCCATTTCACTTTTTTGGTTTCCCAATCTATCAACCTTTTTGGCTTTTATGCAAAATCCTTTTCACATCTGACTCTCCAAAATATTTCCTCACAATAAACTTCAAATATATTCTTAATAATTCTCTTTTTCTTATATTTTAATACTTTAATTATCACCAAGTATTTCTGCATATTCTCTCTCAATTCTTCTTCTGTAAAACCGTGCGACCTGATAAAAGTAAAATCATAGTCTAAACCAACAAGAGTTTGAATTAAATATCAAGACTTACTTTTTTTTAAGCAGATAGATCTTCAATCCTACATTAACTTTTCAGAAGAACAAAAATATGTTGAACAATCTTTTTAGAGCCATTGTACTGATGTACTTCATTGTTTCTTTGAGGAAAACTCAGAAAGACAAATATCACAGCCAGCAGAAAATCAACCAACACAAGTGCTGGAAGTTCGAAAAATCAACAGACTCTGTTATGGTGCTTCGGAGTAATCTCCTAATGAATTATTACAACAATGTTAAAATGATTATTATGCAGATTTACTGAATTATAATAAAATGTTAGAAAGTTAAAATAGATGCATCATGCCTCCGAGATTTTTCCGAGTGAAAGCAGCTGGAGAAGATGAAAGTTGCAACAAATGAAGTCATGAAACCAATACATACAGAAATATTAAGAAGAAACTCCAGGACAAAAGGTTATCAATATATCAAAGAATCAGGATATAATTGGTTGCTAACCTGGATAAACAAACACCAAAGAAGCAGAACCCAGATCACCGAATCAAAGCATAGCAAAGCTGATGCTTCACAAAGTTCGGACTAAGCTAGATTGATCAACATAAAAGTTTAACCCAAGTTTGACCAATGCATAACAATTAACATTATCAACTTTAATTTAACATAATATATTATCCAGATCACCAATTCTAGAGAAAATATTTGCAATCTCAATTTTATTTTTATATAATTCTTAAATCTCTAGTCTCCCAAAAAAGATGGTAATGCAAAGAGAATGTTTCTAAAGCTGTTCCCACACTTCTTTTAAGTTTTACAATCAGGTTCACCAAAAAAAGTAATCACACTCCTTTAATTTTTACAATCAGGTTGGCCAAAAAAAGGTTATATTTGCATACCAAGAAGATGAAAAAGATCTTTCTCCAAACATTCTGTCAAGTTAACCCTCTAAAAAAGACTTCACAGATTTCACAATCTTTAGAAACAGCAGAAAGAATATCCAAAATTACTATATTAACTCAGTATATATAGTTAATATTCACAACCATTAAATAAAACTAAAGGTTGTTCACACAGTTCACTGAATCGAGCTTATAATAACAAAGAATAATACAAACTTTGAATCGAGTTTATAATAACAAAGAATAATACAAGCTTTGAGAAAATACCTCATGCTTGGTTTGAATCTGAATTAAATAATAGGAATCAATGTATCTATTCACCCTCAGCAACATTTAGGATGATTTCACATGTTAAATGTGCGCTTACAATTATACTTAAGCTGAAAAGAAGCAGTGAATTATTCCAAAAAAAGTTGAGAATTGTGATAAGATCCATGGAGGAGAAATCAACAAACACGTTTCTTGGTAATAAAATTCTGCCATGCCTCTTTTGTCATGCACCAAAATCAAAAACTCATACCCATCACTAAATGAAATGATAATGTATCATCTAAAGATTAAAAAATTCATCTCTAGCTTTTGAAAATGAAACTATTCTATATGCTTGATATTAAATCTGAAAATTTTAGAAAGTTAAGCCTGTAAGGGTATAAATAACTGTTCATACCAATTTAAAACCAAGAAAAAGGGGGATTAGCGAAAATGTTATTCATTATGAAAAAAATATATGTATATATATATTATTAGATAGATTGGAAAAAAGATATACACCAACTCAACACTACCACTTGCATGAACCCAAAACTTAACTCAAGATAAACTAACTCAAAGTGACGAAAGCCGGAGACCAAGCCACCAGAAAATCCTCAAAATTCATAAGATGAAAATCAAACCACCATGAAATCCACAGAATTGACACCAAAAATCGAGAGATAGGCAGAAATCAAATGAGGAAAAGAGAATAAATAATAAACATAATAGGACCAAGATCAAAACCCACTCTACTGTTAGGGTGAAACAGAAGAGATACCATCAAATAAAAAAAAAATAAGAAAGAAAAAGCAAACAGCATTACTTTTACCTTCCCACTTACTCTCATTCCTTCTGATATTGAGGACAAAGCTTGTGGAGTTCTGGTACAGCCTGAAAAAAGAAACAAACTCCTCGGACTATCCACAAATTCACACTTCTTTCCAACGAGCGGCTGCAGCCTTGAAGTCATATGGTTGAATAAAGCATGAGGAAGCACTAGCAAATGTTTTGTTTTACTAAATGGCACGAAATTTGTATATGAGTAGATTGAAGAAAACTGGCCAACAGATGCTGAGATACTTGAGAATGAGAGTTTTTCCCAAAATGAAGGGTAGTACTTTGCCATAAGTGAAGATACAAAACCAAGCTCAAGCTATAATCACAACTGGGCATGTGTCTCTCTCAGTAGTTTCCAGTTCCCGGGTTCAATTCCATTTTGTTTACATGCCCAGAGGCTTAAAGAGAGAACCCACAACCATCTTGCATCTCAAATGTTAATTGGAATTCATCTCAAAATTTTAGACATCAAATATTTATAACACAACTATATATACACAAAATAAGAAAGAAAAAGTAAATTAATGAAAATGAATCTCCTGAAAAATGTCGCACATGAAAACACAGCTATATACCATATCTCAATTTAAAAGGCGTACCATAATTTTATTAATAATCATAAATGATCCTTAACATCAAGATTGAGTTCCATCAGAGTTCTCTGTTAATATCAAAAGAGTGCGAATGAGAAATTAACTATGATGATAAAGTTGAGAAATCCAGCAATCAAAGAGAAAACAAAAGGAAGAGCAACAACTTGGCAAAGTTAGAGGACCATTGCATTCCAAGATAACACAAACAAAATCAACGAAATGAAGAAATCCCAATAAAATGAAACAATATCACAGGAGAAAAAAACAAGTAGAATCACAAGAGGAAACAGATCAGAGATTAGACAATATAACAAATAAATATAGAGATTATAGATTAAAAAGAAAAGCTAATCTTCCTAGGATTAAGACTGACCAGAGTGACAGGAGGAAGCACTGTTGCCAGGCACCAATCTGCCCAAGCTCCAGTGATGCACTTTCTGACACCCAAGTCAAGGCACAACCAGTTCATATAGGCCCTCATCACAGCATGAAGCCACACATATCTAGTCCTTTCCTCTGACTTAACCCATTCTCTCTTCTCTCTCAAATCTTCCATCTCCATATCTCATATGAGAACACATTTTTTCACTGTATTCTCTCAATCTATTATCCTTCCTGCTGTTCTCACCTTCCCCTTGATCCCTCCCTCATCATCTCATCTAAATAACTCTTCCTTCTCTCCCTCTCACCCACTCTAGCCTCCACAACCATTCCTCCACCCCTATCTGAAAATCACTTTTTGACTGAGGATCCATTATTATCCCTCCCTTTGTTGCATCTCTCAGCTACATACTGCAGACAATTAATGCAAATTAGTCATAACTGAAGATGAAATAATGGAAGAAAGAAAAAGGGTCATTGGGGTTAATCGCAGGCACAAACAATATTGTTTTACAGCGGGAAGAAGAAGGCACACCTTTTGAAATAAGCATAGATTCTAGAAGCCAATAAGACACATGACCTTAATAAGTATCACAGATTCCTTTCATAGAAACCAACCTTACTATAGATTGCTTAACAACTAACAAGATAGCCCTTAAACAATTAAACTAAGCTCAAATTTGCTTGATGCAACCTGGAAAACAGTTAAAGTAATCCCAATGAGAACATCCAGAAAAGCAATCCTTCAGATCAAAGGAAGATTAAACTAAGCTCAAAAATCACCGGAATAGATCTACTGGAACGATAAGTTTGCCATCACAAAACATGAAGTTAAATGGTTGAAGGCATATAAAGTTAAATAACTAAATGGAAATAGAACAAGGGAGAGGGAATTCTCACAGCTAAGATAGCCCTTTCTGGGTTGGTCAGGACTGAAGATTCCAGAGCAAGCAGTGGCTTTAATTGTCACAAAACAGAGCATCAAGTTGAGAAGACTCTGATGGAAGATCAGAGACATGAAAGGATCCGTTGATAGTGACGACAGTGATACGAATGGGCGAGGAGGAAGAGGGGAACGAGGAAAGCTGCTGCCTGACACAAAAAAAGACGAACCATCAAACAGAGGTCTCTTATACAGATTTAGTCCACCATACCAGCAAACAGCTCTTACAACACCCAACATGAATTTCTTCGAGACGTTTACGCAAACAGGTTATGAGTAACCACTCAATAACAGCTACAACAAATCAACTGAACCAAAAACGAAGACTTCTTCATAATTACCTCCAAATGCTACGCGAAATCGAAGAAGATGATTCTGCTAGTCTGAAGAATAAGCCACCAGAAACATGATTTGGTTAACGTTGCCGACTTCGAGAGCGTATCTAGCTATGGGGTTTCCTTTCCTTTTTAGAATTCTACAACAACTCTATTAGGAAACTGAACTCTAAAACAGGAAAAAAAAAAAAGTTTCAATTCTACAACAACTCCAGTAAATCAATCCTAATGACAAACTGATTCGGAGATCCATCCAAAATATAAAGCACCACCGAGCAGCCTCTTATAAATTCCAGAGCTGCACCGTTAATGTCTTCATCCTCTCCAGTTTCTCTTCCAAAACATCAATTTTCCTACCCCCAATAACTCATCTCCCAATCTAGCCGTATGCGTCCTCCTGTTGACATCTCGCAATCCGGAGAAAATCCACAAATTTCTTACGGACGTTCTCAGGTAATGTACTAAATTCTCTCTAGACTTGTTTTGAATGCATGAATTAAATTGATCACTACTTGCTTACTTTCAAATTTTAAACTAAAAATTGTGTATGCTTTATTCTCTCTGAATTCCTCACTAATGTCCTATGAGCTTCTTAAAATATTGTTAATCATTCTCTTTGTTTCCTATTAAATCTTTCACTACTTAGTTAAAATTTTTTAGAAATTTTATTATAGTTTTTTTTTTTTGAGTCGTTGCGGGCCGGAAAGCGTACCGGCAGTTTGAGTCGAGAAAGGCCGCTTACTTTCCCTTAGGCCGGGCCAAGTCAGTCTTTAGAAGCTCGTTTGAAGCCGGAAAACTTTAAACGAAGCTTACATCACCCAATAATCTTTTTTCTGATTAAGATTAAAAAAAAAAAAAACCTACCCATCAATCATCCATCACAACCAACTATTCATAAAACAGAAATTAATTACAGAAATCGAACTCTAAATTCTGAAAATTAGTCGGTACCCTTTTATCAAGTCTACCAGAGGCCAACCATCGTTTCGTTGCATAAGACGGTGCCGTCTCACTTCGAGTTCCTATCTTCTTTTTCATTATCTTCTTTTCTTTTTTTTGGTGAGACTGGGCTAGTTTGTTTTCATCATATGTAATGGAGGATAAATTTTGAGTTGGTTGTTGGTGAACCCATTCCAGAACTGGGTGTTGTGAATTTAGAATCCCGTTCTTTGGTTCCCATTGGGTTTACAGGTCCACCCCATGACAGCAAGAAAAGATGATCTTGTGCTATACTACGCTCATCTCTTTCCTACCGAGGCACGCAGACTCCCATTCCCATTATCCTTACAGTAAGAATAAACAATAGCATACAAATAATGAGTACGAATCGGTTATCCTTTCAATAAGAATAAACAATAGCATGCCATAGCCGAAAATTCTTTGATTCTCTTGCTTTCCTGGCAGATATCCGCAAGTCCAGGCTTTCTAATTTGTATGTTGGAGAACAGGAGAGAATTTCTAATTTGTGAAAATAAATTTGTGGTGTCAATATTTGGAAAATAATATTGTAGTAACAATCAGTCGTACTTTCTTTCATGATTTAGGTTTAATAAATAATATGTATTGTATATATTTTTATCACTCATAAGAATTTTAAAGATTTTTTTAAATATATAAATTTTTAGTAGGAGGTAAAATTTTAGAATTGCATAAATATGATTATTGAAGTTATATGAAGTACTGTAAAACTCACAAATCTTTTATGGGTTTATGCAGATGGATGCTCCAAATTCTTCATCTTCAGACAATATTTCACATCTTTTAGAAAATCTTCAATTGAATTCTGATAACAATAACACCATCAGCTCTCAAGTAGAAAATTCTTTGATTTCACAAAACACCCAACAAATGTCTACTAACAATTATCGTCGTGAAATTAGGTTCAATGATTTTCAAAATTCATTGCATGAATCTCCACCATTATATTCACTTTGGTCTGGATATTATTTAGATAGTAGAGAAGAACCAATTTCACAATTTGGTAATTGGAATCATCAACAAAGTATACATTATGATCATTATGATTTAGAGGTTCAAAGACTACTTGAAATAGCCTTGCACCAGTTGTTCGAGCTAATGATTGATCAAGAACGAAACAAAACTCTTAAGGTGTTCATGGATTCATGTAATGAATCACAGCTGCAATTAATTGTGGAGAAAATAATATCTCAACCTGAATCGTTTCTGATTGCGTCAAAAAATTCATGTGGGTTAAGTGTCATCAAGAAACTTCTTCGTTTGATTCAGAAATCATCATTGATGAACCAAATGTTGGAACTTATTTCTTTTTTATTTTTTGATATGATGATTGACAAGATATCTCATCATATTATCTTGGATTGTCTTCACCTCCTTGATGTAGAGAAGAGAAAAGTACTTTATCAAGTGGCCATTCAGCATACTATGAACTTAGCTAGTCATGAACAAGGATACGTGTCCTTGAATAGTTTTATTACCCTTTTAAGGAGACCATATAGAGATGACATGCTTAACTTAATTTCAACACATGCAATATGGTTTGCTCAGGATCCATGGGGAAACTTCGTTCTTCAACATGTCTTGGAACTTCATAACCCTTTGTATAATGAGAAAATTTGTTCTCAACTTAAAGGCAACTATGAAAG